GTCCCGGACCCGGTGGCTTAAAACTCACGCCAGGCGCGTGTGCGTGCGTGCCCAAGATCCCGAGAGGAGAATGGAGGAGAAGGGATTGCGGCGTGACCATCCCCCCTGGGGGGTGATTTCTCGCTTTCTGTCTCTATGTCTCTCTCTGTCTGTCTGGCGAGCACACACGCCCTATAGCGAAAAACCTCTCCAAAAAAAAAGAATCAATCTCAGTCCCTTCTTATTCAATCTGTTATTCATTATCTTAACCCCATCTTCTAACTCCATATAAATACAGACTTAATTCCTGCATTGATTTTTGTGGCAGGTACATGACTCCCCATAATCAGGGATATGTCACAGTGTGCTAAGGAATTAAACCCGCAGTCCTTGGTGTCTCATGTGACCAAGGAATGTCAAGGCTTCAGGACAGAATTGATCAGAATACCTTTCCACTGAGTCATTGAACCACTCTACTGTGCTCTGTGGTCAGAAGAGATTCAAGAGTGAGTAGAATTAGCTAGTACCAGGGGAATTGCATGTACAGATCCTACCAGGATAGAATGAGATAGATAGGAAAAACATTTTTTATAAGTTTATTTATTGAATTCATGTCCAAGAGAGACTGAGACAGAGAGACAGCACCCCTAGCAGGCTCTTTACGTTGTGATATACCCCCAGCCTCAGGCATCCCAGGGGCACCTATGTGCCAAGCATACTCAGGAGTTTTCAGATATTAACGTGGAACCTTTCTATATGGGTTAGCCTTGCAGAACATCGTATTTTACTTCATCGTCATGTGCTCTCCTCTCATCCAATTTTTATAAATAAGCATCTGAAAGTTCCTTGCAGAAAGGCATCATGAGTTTCATTTAGGATAATAAGGAATGAAAACACAAGTTAAAATGTAAATTACTGGGTCAGCCCATAGCTTAGTGGTTAAGGAAGCGGATCCCACATTAGTGGTAACATTTAAATCCCAGCCCAAGTGACTTCCAAAGCATGTTAGGTGAGTGTGTGTGGGTGCACAGAATCCCACTGGGACCAAGAAATGGAGAAGAGATTGCAGCCTCACTTTAGCTTAGCAGGGGATACTTCTCTCTCTTAATTTCTGTCTCTGTTTCCCTATGGTGAGTGCCTATACTTTCTCACAATAAATAGAAAGAAAGGAAAAGAGGGAGTGATGTTCTCAAGAAGGTAAAGTTAAGTTTAATAAAGAATATTCTAAAGAAAAAAACGAGTCTTGAGTTGACACTAGCCAAACAAAAAATGAAAATATTTTATAAAACCATGGAAAGTAAAACAAGGCACTGGTGAAGAAAGGAGAAATATAGATATAATACACAGACTAATTAGCTCTAAAATTGATTTAGTTCCATGTAAGAAATTGCTGGAAAATAAAACTGACATCCCCAGACAGAAATAAGTATTCATAAACTTATGTAAGAATAACTAGGGAGAAATTTAAGGGAAATAAAATTCATCTAGACTGTCTTTCATGGTACATAACAAAATGAAATTCCAAATCTATGAATAAGTTAAAAAATTTAAAAATTGGAGGACATAAAAGCAGTGAAGGTACTTAATGAGAATAGGACAGTGTGGAATGGAGGAGGTGAAGAGAAGAGGACAGAGAAAGATAGCAAGTGAACAATAGAGAGGCACGACATTAGTGAGAAACAGATAGGGCTTATTAACTGTTGATGATGACATGTGTAGTATTCTCAACTGGATTGGTCTGAGAAGTACTTCACGATGGGCAAAGTTTTTTTACAAGCAAAATGAGAAATAGCGATTGACTGTTTGAAAAAATAATTAGAATAATAATAATACGATTGGAGAAAACATAGAAAAGATATTGAATGTTGAAGTGGGGAGATTAATGTCTCTGTATTGACTGACATGCATGGCATTCCCTTTTGAAAAAGCAATGTAATACACTGTAAAGTTATATGTAATCCAATGTAATATAAAGAAGATTATGATGATAATAAAAAAATCTCCCTTGAAAGTATTAAAAGCAGACTAGATCATTCAGAAAATAGAATCTCAGATGTAGAAGAAAAAGTAGCTGGCCTAGAAAAATTCACCATGAAGACTGAGAAAATGGCCCAAAAATTTGATAATAATATGCGAGAAGTGCTGGATGCCATCAAACGTCCAAATATCCAGATAATAGGCATTCCAGAAGGTGAAGAGACCCATAAGGGCATTGATAATCTATTCCATGAAATCCTGCAAGAAAATTTTCCAAACCTAGAGAGGCATTCAAAGATCCAGTCCCAGGAAATACAAAGGACCCCAAATAGAATCAACCCAAGAAGATCTTCCCCAAGACATTATAGCCAGGTTGACCAAAACCATGGACAGAGATAATATTCTAAAACTGGCAAGAGGAAAATGTCAAGTTACTTACAAAGGCTATCCTATTAGGCTAACATCGGACCTCTCGTCAGAAACAATGCAAGCAAGGAAAGAATGGAAAAATATATTCAAACTGTTAAGTGAAAAACAATTTCAACCAAAAATATTGTATCTGACAAGATTATCCTTCATGTGGGAAGAAAAGATAAAAAACATTCTCAGATTTAAAACAAACAAACAAACAAAACAAAACAAAACAAAAACACCAGATCAGCTCTTCAAGAAGTTCCAAGGAGAGTACTATAACAGGAAAACTATAGACAGAATAAAAGAGAACAAAAAAATGGAGAAAGCATCCAGGCATCTCCACTTCTGCCTATGTTGGCCTCTGAGTTCAGCTTCACAGCTGTGAAGAGCCCCCTCAGCCAAAGGCCCACCCCCAACATTTCAGACCTCAGTGCTAGTCAGGACAGAAAGTGTCCAGGCACCTCCACCTCTGCCTGTGTTGGCCCTCAGCTTCACAGCTGTGAACCCACTTCCCAGCCAGGGACCCCTGTTCCAGACCCCAGAGCTAGTCAGGTAGGCAAGTGTCTCTCTCCCTCTTATTTTTCTCTGTCCTTTCTAACTCTTTTTTTTCCTCTTAAAAAAAAAAAAAAAAAAAAAACAAAACAACAACACAACCAACACAA